GAGTAGTGAATTTGTTGCCAATCTAGAGAAACGTAGCTCCGCAACAACAAAGATTACGCCTTCATTTATTATTGCGAATTAAATCATGCTTAATCCTTTCTGGAATTTTTTCGAGGAAATAACTGTTTAAGATTTAATAAATTTTTTAATTTAATTTTTAATAATTAGTAATTTTTAATACGGAAATTTTGAGTTTTTATGTATTTTTGCCTTGTCGCGAAGTGAGAACTGAATTAATTGAATGAGAAATACTCAATCGTCTGTGAAAAAACTTTTTTTTTTAGCTTAATTTCTTTTATACATCGTTCTAGCTTTATTATAGTATTTGAATAGAACATGTGGCAACGATTAGATAATTCTTTAAATGACATAAATTTTGTGCATTCTGAGTTATAATATGAACGAAATATTATACTGTTAAGTGAACCTAGCGCCAGAGTGTCACTATGGTAAACAAATAGCGTGAATTTTAAAGATTGCATTTATTCTTGTGATTTATGCGCTGTCGGCGAAGTAGATTTAATTAAATCCAATAAGGTTAAACGAAATGCAAGAAAAATGCGTATAATTTAATATTCCGTACAAGGAAGTCATGTGGTGTACACATTAGATTTTTATAACTCAGAATGCAAAAAAATTACATCATCTGAAGAATAATCTAATCGTTGCCACATGTTCTCTATTCAAATACTACTAACTACTAAGAACATATAGTGAATTTGAGTTTCAGAAAGCAGCACCTCCTTTTACTCTGCATTACGTGAAGAACATCAGTAAAACAAAAAGACGAAAGTAAAAGTCAGGTGGCCGCCATCAGTCGACGTAAGAGGTGAGTGTCTGGTTGAAGGTCCAAATCAGTGAACTGATGAATCTAGTATAAGTAAAAAATGTTAAGGATGGAGAATGTCAGATGGATATTTGTGCTTTTCTCTGGGAAATGGAGAACATCTAAGAGTGTTGATGCAGTTGTTAGGATGAGTGAGAACTGAATAGAAGAAATTTCTGGCAAGTTTTTGAATATAATCTTGAATTGTATCTGCTTTGAGATCACGGTGGATATAAGAATTTAAAATGAACCATGGCACGTTGATGTTCTCTCTGAGTGCTTTGTTTTGAAGAACTTGGATGTGTTGAAGGTGAGTTTCGGCAGCGTGGCCCCAGACAGGAACTAGCATAGAGTAATGCTGGTCGAAGTATAGATTTATATAAAAGGAGTTTATTAGAAACGGACATATGACTTCTTCTGCCAATAATATAATAAATCTAAAACGATGTGTAAAAGAAATTAAACAAATAAAAAATAAAAGTTTTTCAGAGACGATTTAGCGCTGCTTACCTAATGCGCATGCGCTATTCGTAAACATTCTTTTCTGTCCGAAACAGACTGGCGACAGTATTTTCTACTAATATGAAACATTTCCTCGAATTTCATTAGAGATGTATTTCTCATTCAGTTAATTCAGTTTTCCCTTCGCGGAAAGGCAAAAATAATAAAAACAAAAAATATCTTCATTAAAATAATAAAACACCAAGTACAGTTAAAAAATTTTTTAAAAAAATTACAATTAAAATTAAAGTTTCTACGCAAAAACAAGCAACTCGGCCAGCGGATAAGAAGACAGATTTTTCAGTGCACAAAACTGAACGTTTACTTTTGGTTTCACTCGGCAAAATGACACCGAAAGCGTAGAAACTGACTTAATTTGTTGTGAACGCTATACTGAGTCAAAATACGGGATAATTTAATAACTTTGATGATAATTCCAGGGTGGATTAAACATAATTTAATTTGCAATAATAAAAGTCGTTACTTTGTTGTTGCGAAGCTTAATTTCTCTAGATTGGCAACAATTCTACTATTCTGCTTAGTTTCAAATGTAAATAAATATGGCTCACATGAAAAAAAAAAAAAAAAAAAAAAAAAAAAAAAAAAAAAATTAGGCTTAGCTGCACTATCAACAACTTTTAAATTGTTGATAATTCTACAACTATAATATGCAGGTTAACTAAACGCATAAAAACCTTAACCGGAAGATAAGAACGATATAATTCAATGATTTTTAAAGCAAAAAGTGCACAATTTACAAACATCTCTACATATAATAAAAGAAAGACTCTGTGTGTGCGTCTTTCGTTCGTGCTGCGCGTAAGCTAAAAGATCCAGGGCTACGAAATTTGGTACATAGGTGCATCTAGACAAGATCCAGTGCATTTCGAAGCGATTTTTTTTCAAAATTCGAGTCAGATTTACTTTATTTTATTTTATTTTTTATTTTATCTTTTTTTGATAAACTCGCATTATTTTGAATTGTTTCATTCTTTTAGAAATGTGGTTTTAGCAACAGTTTTTCATTCAATGCTTTGTATACTAGACTGCTGAATGTTGAAAATATGATATACAATATTGCTTATTTCATGCTGCTTATTTTATTTTGATTTTCGGACACGCAATACGCACATTACAATCTTCTTATTCTAACGCGCATGTGTCTCGCGAGGCAAAACAAAAAGAATTTCCTTCCCCCTCTCTCTTTATTAGCTAATGGCAAAGAGGTTTGTATATTTTGAATTATGTCATCCACTAAGCACAATTTTCATTGGTTATTGATTTCAGGTGATAGTTTCATTTTTTTAGAAATGGGGTTTTGGCAACAGTTTTTCATTCATTGCTTTGGATACTAGACTGCTGACTGTTTTCTCTTGAAAATATGAAATTTATTGCTTTTTTCATTATAATTTTTTATATTATGTTTTCATTATATATATTTTAATCATATAAAAAGTTTTGCAAGATTTTGTTTTTTATTCAACAAAGTTCTTAATTTCATCCCTTATACCATTTGAATTCTTAAGATTTTGCAATGGGATGTTGGTTAATTTATTTATTTGGATAATTAATCTTTGTATTAGGGATATTGCATATTTTATTGCAATTTTTTAATATATGATACATTTTTATTGATTTTGTTTTGGATAAAGTTGTTCTGCAGAGAAAAATTCTGTGCAGGTTTTAAATTTAATGTTTGGTGTTTGGTGTTCCCTTTAGGCATTCTTTCAGTACATTTAAAAGCCAGACGAAGGTTGACCGTGTAGCGGCTAGTATAAGAATAATGAAACTGAGCCGAGTAACAGAGTGTATATATATATATATATATATATGTCATGATAAAAGCAAAGGAAAGGACGGAACACTGTAGATGCTTGATTAGACCCACATTGAAGAAGATTTTGATTGCGCAGTATGCTAGTAATGCTAACTTGGTAATATCTAAAGAACTTGGCAGTCGAAGCAATTTTAATTCCATTTTTATTTCCAATTGATATTTGTGGCCACAATCACTTGGCACTCTAGTCGTGCCTTTCCACAGAAGATTTACATTTTTGATGTTGTTGGGATAGAAAGCAAGCCAGCAAATTACATCTTAGCCAGTAGAGAGCAAGAGGTGAAGGCGTCCTTATGAAAGAGGAAGCACGCGAAGAGAGAAAAGTTTGGTTTACAATTCGGTGATTTGTTGTCAAGAGGCATCTGGTATTAACGGTTACGTAAGATCGCATAATTTATTTAAATGACGCATGCAGACAAGTTATTACGATTTTAGAATAGAGAGGAAGAATTAATATTTATAATTATATTATAATTCTGATTCATACATTTTTATCTTACATTATATATACTTTGGTGCGGTCGATTGCAACCAAAGTAGGAGGTGCACGTCTACATGTTATAACAATCTTATATACAAAATTTCAACTTTCTGGGGATACTCGTTTTTGAGTTATGAGAAATACGTACAAACGCCACGAGAAAAAAAGTTTTTCAGAATCCATTTTAAATCAGTTTAAAAAAAAAAAAAAAAAAAAAAATTGGGGGGGGGAGAGTCCATTATTCTGTCCTTACGTACAGATGTCAAGCAAAAACATCGTTAAATTGCATTCGATAGCAGCCAGAATGGATATTTTCGATGAAGTATGATACTTGAAATTTTTCGCGATTACAATACTAACTTTTTACTTCGTACAAGGAAGTAAAAATAGATAAAACAAATTATAACTTAAATTAACAATAGCTCCATAATTCTGCATTTTAATTTGTGTATCTTCTCTTTCTGTTCTAAAGGTAGAAATTGTTTATAATAATTTTTCTTGGCTGCGTGTTCTCTAATTACTCCGTTTCATCCTTGCTTATGTATTTTGTAATGAGAATAAATAGTTCTTATCTAATTATGGATTAACATATCTTTTTCACTCTGTCATACTTTGAATGCGTATTCACTTCCGTCTTCTTTCCGCTTTCCTCTTGCTATGCTAGCACGTATAATTCGCCGGTCTGTTTCGTCTATTATCTAAAGATGTGAAGAGGTACATGAAATTGTGAGGTGCATTTCGCACTCACAATGATATGTGATTGAGAATATGTGTCTCAAGAAAGTCCAGCAGTAAATTATGTCTTGTCTACTACACGTCTGCAAGTTTTTTTTCTCCGTTATGCATTATGACTCCACCAACACTTTGCCAATCTAATACAATAATAAGTCATCATTCTGTTTATGCGCAGGAAAGAATCATCCAGTTATCTACGGAATATACTACATACATATATTTATAATAAATTAAAATGAATAAGTAAAAGAATCTTGGAGGATTAAGTGTAACGGGTACAAATAAAATAATTATCACCAGTAAAATTCTCGAATCGTGTCAGTGATGAAAAAAATCATCCAGTATTTTCTTTAAATTTATTTTTTTGTATATATAAAAGTTGATGGTTTATTTTTCGTTTTAAACTACAGAGCCATTAAAAACATAATTATCTAATTATTATTTTTTTTTTTTTTTCAAAAAAAAAAAAAAAAAAAAAAACTGTGAACAGAAATGAAATAAATCTTGCACATTCTTTTATTTTATTTTTCTTTATCTTTAAATATTAGTCTGCAACACTTCTCAGTAAGATTATGTGCGAAAAAAATGAAAATACAGAAAAAATAAATTTTTTAGATTACCTCATTTAAAGTTACATCGAGCTCTTGCCGGAAGTCGAATACTCTCGCAGATGACAAAATAACTCCGGTATTCATATTTTCACCGGCATATACAAACCTATTAAAATTTAAAATACAGTTATGGGTAATAATTTTATTGCTTTAACACAAAGATGCATAAATATTATATCTATGGGAGACCAAAGAATGCGCCGAAAGATAGGTTGGTATAGTTTGTTAGTATATACTGTGTGTACTAGGAATTTGATATCTACTTCTAAACTTCGTACCAAATGCATTACGAGCTTTAAGTGCATTTGTGTGGATTTCATTAATCAGCACCACTAAGTGACTGGGTACGTACCTAGAAAATTAACTTAAAACGTGTTGTATTAACATCCGCGTTGTGATTTAGCGGCTGCGGTTTTCCTGTATGAGTTAAAAATCTTGATACTGTGGCTGTTGAAACACCAAACATTCAGGTACCTTGGTAAAAAGACCTTTGCCTTGGTTACGGAAGCATCCACGGTATAGCCTCAACAATTTGCCCACTTTCGAATTCATTTAGCTCCGATATGATGCACTAATAACTGCACAGAACACTGTTTCGATAGCGAATGACACTTACAAAATATGGAGGATGTTACACAGGTGGCGTTAATGAGCAAACACATCAGCGCCACCTAGAAGAATAAACATTTCATTAAAACATGCATTTTACTAGGTGTTTCTATATTTTTGTCCATCCTCGGTCAAATGTAACACTGCAGCGAACACATGAATGATAAAAAACAAAAACGCTTTTTTACTTTATAACGTATAAACACATAATTTTGATGTGCACCGAGAAAGAAAAAAAAAAAAAAAAAAAAAAAAAAAATCTTTTAGTTTCATTGTAATATTCAGTGTATTAAATGGACTGGAACATTTAGTATCTGAAAGTATGTCTGTACCACTACTTCGATAAGAAATTAAAAATGAATATAAAATAAAAATTAATTGGCTTTCATAGCTTTGTAGGTTATGAAGATATATATTAAAGCAAATGATATACTCAATAAAGCCTGTTTCATTATTTTAAAGAAAAAATTTAGCATATAATTTTTAAAGTGTCATTTTTAGTGAAAAAGAAAGCAGAAAATTAAATGTAATCTCTGGAAAAAATTATGATATTACTCTTAAAAACAGTTTCCTTATTACGAACGCGTGTGAAATATCGAATTTTCTGAAGACACTTCATGTTTAATTTTTCATACCTATTTCCACCGATAACTTTTCTTGCTCTTAACTATTTAAATTTAAATCTGTGAGGGTGAGGTGATGAAAAAAAAAAATTGAGTAAAATTTTTTTTTTATTTAAATTAAGATTAAATTTTATAAAATTCATTACCTATTTCAACTAGTATTAAATGCTGATCAAATTCATTCGTTACCTGTCTAGTGCACAGCTCTTGTAATTTGTGGTCGTGTCGATATGACTTCCTATTGGCCAAGTAAACTCTTGCCTTGTCCAGAGCGTTATATTTTCCCATTCTTTCTCTTTCACGTAAGTGCAGTGTGCATTAAAATCTCCCATTAAGAGCACATCCTGGAATATAATTTTATATGTAACTAATCTATAGTTTTGTGAAAAAAGTTAGATCAGTTTATATCTCGATAAAAATGTTTGTTACCATTCAGAAACAACTAATAAAAGGAATTAGTATTAATAGTTTCATTATTTCATATACGCTAATATCCATGCAGTCACTGACAACAACAACAATAAAAGCATCTTCAGAATTTTACTGGAATATATGATGAAATCTTACATGCGATTACTCTAGAACCGAGTATACAAGCGAATAAAAAATTAAGGCCAATGGCAGAACAGTGGCTCATTACAGCATATAGAAAGCGTACACTGAACAGCAATTAGCATCAGCTAATAATGCTTCTTTGAAAAATTCACCATGCTCAAAAGAGTTTTGCTTCTTTGCAGCACGTGATAAATTTTAAAAGAAGTACTAATGGGGGCATTTGCACATCTTGCCAAAGTCTTAGTAAAGACTAACTGTTAGACAAACAGATTTGATTTTAGCTGATTTCATTTTTTTTTTTTTTTTTTCTTTCTTGTAATTCAAGTGGAGTGATTTCTTCCGATTCCGTATTAAGAGTGGCATGAATTGTTTGAAAAAGACACTGAACATCATATTTTTTTTTTCGGCACTGCAGCACTACTACCGCACAACAAACGAACACGTTTATCTTTAAAACTGACGAAACAATATGGTTTTTCTAAAATTATAGGTTCTTTATCTTTCACTTGAGTCACTTATTTTGGGAATAAAGTAAGGGAGTCACTTATTTTGGGAATAAAGTAACAATGTGTCTTCTACGTCTTTATATATATATATATATAAAGACGTAGAAGAGACCAACAATAAAATAGGAGGTATGTATACTAAAAATGTGAACATAACTAGCAATAAATATAACATGGCATTTTATAGAATATCCATTAAATTAAGATTTTCCTTTCAAACTTGGCACCCAGAACAAAACAAATATTTATGGTCCCCTCTACCAACAGTGCATTAAAACAGTAGAACAGGGAGGCACTAAAATATTTTTAATGCGTATATAATTGATATTTCATTTTATTTTTAACAAATTATCGCGGCAAAACGGCAAACTGGTCGGAACCATATTTTCAGACTGGTACAGTCTCGGCCAAACCGGGACTTTGGAAAGCCCATTTAAAATAGTAAGCATATAAACAAATACGCTTATAATTAAGACACAATAACACGCCGAATAAATACTAATTCAGAAGTCAAACAACAAAAATCAGCGTTATACCTACAAAATTTTCACAGGACTAGTTTCGATGGTTTTACCGAACCATCATCTTCAGCTGCAAAACCGCAAATGAATGAAAAACCGCATTCATTTGCGGTTTTGCAGCTGAAGATGATGGTTCGGTAAAACCATCGAAACTAGTCCTGTGAAAATTTTGTAGGTATAACGCTGATTTTTGTTGTTTGACTTCTGAATTAGTAAATACGCTTATATTTCTCGAATTAATTAATAACTAAAATCTTTTAATGTAACATGTTATTGAAAGCTTAAATAATTTTTTTTTTTTTTTTTTTTAATTGTTGTCGTATAACAGAAAGCACACGTAAAACCGTCGGCGGGCATAAGGTTGGGGATCTTCTCTGCAAAGAAAGGCACAAAGTTTTTAGGAATCTCGACTATGTTGAAATCTGCAGAAAATCTGGTGTCACCTCGCAGCTATGCAGAAAATTTTCTTGTTGATGAGGGAGAGGACAGAGTATTATTTTTCGCGAAAACTAACGGATTGCAAGCTCTAGGAAAAAGTAAACTACTGATAAAACAGCGATGTATCCTTTTGTATATGCTCTTCTGCCTGACGAAGTAACTCATGAAAAAGTGTTTTTGGCTTTAAAGCGGAAAATATCTTCTTGGGAACCAGGAATCTGAGTTTAAAACTGATTTTGAAGTTACTGTAATAAAAGAAAATGGCTTTCCAAATACTCTAACAGAAGGCTGTAATTTCCATTTAATGAGTGCTTGTGGAGAGAGAAGTACAACTTATAAGTCTGACTACTCAGTACAGAGAAAACGAAAGTGTGAAAAGATTATGAAGTGCGTAGTGGTTCGTAATAGATTGAATGCACACAGGGCTGATGATAACTTGATAAAATTTAACCCCCCCAAAAAAATCACAGTTCGGGTTTCACAGTTTTCACTTTCCACAAAAATTTTTTTACCACCGTTCTCAGTATCACAGAGCACAATCAGTCGTTACGCTTCAAACTACTGAGAACATTAAACGCAAAGCAATGCAAAGAATGAAGCTAACATGGAGATTACTCCGAGCTCACGCTGAACTAAACAACTCTGAAACTGATGGTCTTATACATTCCCCCCCCCCCCCGCCCACCGAAGAAAAATTTCTAGTACTTTCCGAAATTACTTTTGAATTAATTTCTCGAAATTACTGGAAGGTATATAAGGGCCGGATACGGTTGCAGTTACACATATAGATTAATTAATATAATTTATTCAATCGCAATACTAATTATAGTTGTATGCATGGACCGGACCATAATGTCACCATATGGTCACCAAATTTGGCGACTTTTCGCTGCAAAAATTAGTCGCCAAAACCGTTGCCACCTTGGCGATATCTTGTCAAATTAGCGAGATAGCCATTTAATCGATGGGAAATACTAGATTTCCTCTGTATTCTTACTTTTCCGGCAAAGCTTCGTCTCTTCATCTTTTGATGTTACATTGTAGAAAGTAAATGCAATAGTTTCACATGTAATTTCACTAAAATTATTTATTTGTGTATAGAATTCGTAACAATATGTTTGTTAAGCATAACCAAAAACAAAGAATATTTAATGCAACAAAAGTAATTAACCAAAGCATATGCCAAATATGATTCCCTTCTCACTTCTAAAAACATTCTTATTTTAACTACGAGTGATCGAACTGTAGCTATCCAAATATTAAATTTTCGAGATATCGAGGAAGAAAGAGAGAGTTTTGGAACCTCTAACAATTAAAGTAGGGATTTTTCTCCGTGATCCTAAATGTCATGGACTATATAATAATAATTTACCCTTTGTGAGGTTTTAATTTTTTGACCGCATTCTAAAATGATCATGCAACCCACCCGTTTGCTGTGATTCAAGTCCAGGTCAACTACTAGTCCTCAGTGTCTTTACTGCTCGGTCATCGTTGAGGCATCGAGCGAGAAGAAAAGAAAAGAAATTAACATAAGAGTGGCAGTGTAATTAGATGGTTTGAGAGAAAGAAGAAACAAGTATTAATAGCACTGCTATGGATTTAGATATGGACGAAATATTACGAGCTAGGAATAACCTGTTCTTTCTTCCGTAAAACTCGACCATTTCGAGAACTTAGCATCCTCTTAGTTCACCTTAGATTGAGTCCCTTACAAAGAGAATTTATTGCTGCTATTTCGACTTGGATGTTTAACCAGTTAACTGTGCCACCTCGTTTAAGAGTGCGCACCGTTCTGTGTCACCAGAATCGAGCTATGACGAGTATATTCATCAATCACAGAGTTAGTTGCGCTGGTAAGATATTGGCTGAAAAAGATGGGTTTATTTTATAAAATTGAAAATTTTATTACTAATATTTACTTATTTGGTTAACATAAGCATATATTACATACATATTAAACTAAAAACGCAATAAATTAAATTAAATATTATACATATAAAAGTAAGAATTTAAATTCCTGCTGTGGAGTGATATTCAGCGAAACAGGGTACTGTACACAATGGGACTTTGCAAATCGAACACCAGTAACGCGATTCCTTCTTGATCTTACGTTTGTAGTAATGCGAACAACTTCCCGTAGGATTTTTTTTTTTTTTTTTTTTTTTTTTTTTTTTTTTTTTTTTTTTTTTTTTATGTTCCGGGTATATAATCCGGAACATGATTCCCGCCTAATTGGCTTATATTAGGTCTAAATGGTCGAGTTTGTGTCGATTTATTTCTTTCAATTCGATACGTCGCAAAAGTGTCTTCAATAAATTTGAGTAAAAAGTTGATACGCGATAATGTTCCATTATTTTTTTTATATAACATGAATGCATTCAGACACGTAATGTATAAGAAATGGAGAAATATCTTTCTATAGTACGTTTCTTGCTGTGGAGTACGCTATGATAATTCCATCGCTCATATCCATTCCACCCATATTTTTTATTATAATCAATTACTAGTTCCGGTTTCTTTGTTATTATTATTTTTCTCTGTTTCTATTACGTTGTCATTATGTACAGTACTTACTAAATAAACCTCCCTCTTATCTTTCGATTTCATTATACGCACGACGAGTATACTCGTCAATACACAAAATCGTGTCGCCTTTCCATGACGAGTATAGTCGTTAATCACAGCTAACTGGTTAACTTACCTCGATAAAATACTTCTCTCTCACCCGGTCATATAAATCAGCAAGACCATTCAGTTCTTTAACTACTTGTGATGGTTTGGCGTGATGGCCAATTACACCGAACCGTTTCATGTCTCCTGAGAAGAAAAAAGGAAAGATTCTTTTAATGATGATATTTTAAAATGTGTAGGTGTTTGGTACAAGAAATTAAACAACAAGTTACAAGAAATGAAAAAACTCACTTAGTGTTGGTGAGTTAAATAATACAAAGAAAGGCTTGCGATAGAACTGCTCTGCCGGGTCAGTATAAGACTCCATTCTAGCAATCTGCAATTTATCCACTCTGAAAGCAAAACAAATACGTTCTATAAATAAAATTTATTACAGATTTACTCATTAAAAAAATTTACTTTTCTTGCATTTAATTGTATTGAATTTGTATTTCTTGAATTTATTAGCCCAAAGGGCGTTAGCCAAGAAGGGCTATTAATTTCGTCTTGGCATTTTGCGTTGATTCACTATAAACAGCGAATCACTTTTTAAATTGTTGCCACCAAATATTAGAGCCCTGTATTATATTTAAAGAAATTAAATAATGAGAAATCTGCATAAATGTATGTATGTTTCTCGCATTGTGATAAAACAACGGTACCTAGAACCATAGAATTTTGAATAACGTATACATTTCCACCCGTATATGGGCATATGGAAGCCCAAATTTGGAATTTTAAATTTGTTTTACTATCTATTTCATATTTTGTAAAACTTTAAAGAATTTTTGATTAACAAACTCAACGATTTCAAAGCGAGCAATGGCAACACTGTGCGGGGGAAAAAAAAAGTATTTTTATCTCTAGCGCGCGAGATTGTGTATCGGAAATTTTAAAGAGACGCTGTTTTTAAATATTTTATGATATTGCTGTTGAATTGAATTTTATGTGGTTTAAGTGCGAAGAACATGATATTTAATAAAAAATATAAAAATCGGAAAGCTTTCAGGTTTTACATTACGCCCAAAGGGGCGTTTTTGTAACGTTTTGGGGGTTACCTTTATTAATTATATATCATGTTCTTCGCACTTAAACCATAAAATTCAGTTCAACAGTAATGTCACAAAATAATTTTAAAATTAGCATAACTTTAGAATTTCTGATACACAATCTCACGCGCTGGAGATATTCCCCCCCCCCTGCAGTGTTGACATTGCTCGCTTTGGATTTGTTGAGTTTGTTAATCAAAAATTTGATAAAATTTTATAAAATATGAAATAGATAATAAAACAAATTTAAAATTCCAAATTTGAGCTTCCAGGTGCCCATATTCGGGTGGAAACGTACGTTATTCAAAATTTGATGGCTCAGGGTACCGTTGTTTTGTCACAGTGCGAGAAACATATATACATTTATGCAGATCTTCATTATTTAATTTCTTTAAATATAATACAGGGCTCTGATATTTGGTGGCAACAATTTGAAAAGTGAACCGACATTTATAATGAATCAACGCAAAATGCCAAAATGAAATTAATAGCACTTTTTCGCTGATGCCCTTTGGGGTAATAAAAGTAAGACATAAAACGTTTAAAAAATGCCCCTTTGAGAGTAAAATCTGAAAGCTTTCAGATTCTTTTTATTGATTTTTTTATTTATTCATTTTTGTGGAGCGCTAAATTTTTTAATTAATGGTAAATTCCGACAGGATTACAAGGCTCAAAACCGTTTCGAGACTAACACCTGTGACTTTACAAATAAGCATTTCGGGGTCTATTTCCCACCTGGCTTGCTCCGTAATCATTGCAACGCCAGGTGGGGCAGACGATTGAGTCTCTTAATTGCTTTTTTTGCCCTTCCTTTCCGTTTAGCGTGTTTCGCTTTTTGAAAGCACATGAAAGAAGGATGACATATCTCAAATGCGGAAGAAAAATAAGTGCTGTGCGACGATGACAACTTATGAAATGAAGGAGGGCAAAAATGCTTTGAACTGCCCATTTTAAAGTAGTAGACTACAATCGAATGTTTTAAACTGGCAGAATCCTAAAGAATTGTCTCAAAAGCTGTTATACATTTACATTTAGAATGTAGCAGCACGATATTTTACCTGTAAAAAAAGGCGCAATGTTCTTTAGTTTGAGGATGACTTTCACTCAATGTCATATTATAGACAGCTCCGGGTGGGCGAAACCTGTTTTAAAGGAAAGAAAATAATTAAAACAACAACAACAACAACAACAACAGCAAAAATATCTCATGAATTCAGTTCAGTATCTTAGGTAATTTTACAGAATCTGTTCAATATGACACTTTTGTTTATACAGATCGAGTCAATGCTGCCACTCCAATAATATACTGGATGACGTTAAGCATACGACCAATATTATGTTCCAAGCATGAGGATCCTTTCTTCCACCTGATTCAGAACAATGTTTTTGGAGCAAACTAAAATTTTAATGTGACTTTAGTGACTCCAAGTCTTGTCAGATCCGGGGTTCTTGTTGCTAAGCGCTCAATATTTTCGAGTGACCTATCCAATTACATCGAAGCAAGTAATTAATCTCTATAACTGTGTTACCAGAAATTTTTGAGCTAAAGTAGCAGAAGGAGAATTGAAATATATAGCTAAAAGTAACACGTGACTTTAGAGATAATGGAATTTTTAGTGACATCATATGTGCATGAGTCCCAGTCCCATAAACTCTGCCATCATCACATTCAGTTTTCATGTGTTCCTAAGTTACGGCCAGTTGGATTCTTAGCCCCTTTTATTTTTGTGCATTAGTTTTGATGAAAATATTAAAAAACTATGTTACTAGTTTTCGATTGTTTAACTATCTATTTCTTTCTTTTTTTTTTTTAAATTCTCAATTAATTTTAGGCCTTTTTTTTCAGTTAATTTTTGCATATCCATCGTTGAATGATTTTTTTTTACGTCTGGATTATTAACGCTCGTGTTAACAATATTTTTTAAGTTGGCTGTTTATTATTAAATTTTTAATTCACTATATCTTGCTTTACTTTTGTTAAAAGTTTTCGAGTTAATTTTCTGTAGTGATTGTTACTTCACTTCACCATAGATTCTGGTTATTAATAAACGCTGCTTTCTTCCACTTGTAGAGTTGCGCGCCTCCAACCTGCACGCAACAAAGTGGTGACTGCTGAAACTGGGAATTAGACAGAGTCTTGAGAAGGGTTTAAGTCCCTTTTTATTCAACTTTAGAAATTACAAATGCGTGCTCTTGACGCTCACAAACTACGCCGACACGGCGGTAAAATAAAAATAAGAAACTAAAAGAGATACTAACAAGTCACTAACTACGAGGCTCTCTAAACGTAACTAACCTCACCGCGTTTTACAATACCGCTGATAATTCAGCAAACTCTGAATATTACGTTGAAAGATTAACAATTTTCCTAGGCAAGCACACAGGCCGAAACGCGTGGTTCTTCAATTTCTGACTAACTACCTCCGCGCTCGTGAAGTAAGAAAAGCACACTTCGAACTCGTTTCCTTTCTATTTAACTCAGAATACTTCCGCTGATAATTTGAATCCTTGCGCGTTCTACTAAAAATTTACATACTCTGGCATTGGCAGTTCCAGGGGAAAGTAAGGCTTGACAAAAAAGATAGTTTAAACTTAAAATAAATGTTAGTTAAAATAAATATTAACCCTACATTTGCCGCTGCCAGAATTTGGAAAACTTGGAAGCAGGTCCTACAAACGACCTGTTGAAAGGTTTCTACAATTCTGAACTAACTTTTAAGAGCCTCGTTTACATAAAAAAAATCTTATGTCACAAAAGGTATACTAAATTTCTGTAGATACTTATTTAAATCTCTCTTCTTACAGCAACTTTTCCTGGACTTCAGCAATCAATCTTGTTCTTTTCCTTCCAGCATCTGGAAGGAATAAGTATCAGTATCTTTCTAAATACATTATAATTTACACTTTCTTGACACTGAATACTTTTTGTTTTTAAACGATTTTATTTTCCTTAGTTACTGCCTAATTCACATTCATTCAAGTATTCAAACATTAATTTAACTGTACCTTGGCTCTCCACGACGTGTGGTGTCAAACGAGAATATTCGTGTTTTAGTATTACAACACTTCCCCTAACCACCACGATTTGTTAGAATTCAACGATCAAATAGACACACCTTACTCGACATTCTACAACTCGATGAGCTACTTTAACATTCTTAAAATTCAAGTGTAGGTGGAGAACCCTACAAAACACATTCATTCTAACTTCCCCCTCATTTCATCTTTAGACATGCAGGCTTTCGCTCTAAAGCATGATTTTATCTACAGTTTAATACTTAAATTTGAATTCATTGCTTTTGAGCATTTACTTTTAGCATCTAAAATTTTATGCTTCTAGACTAAATTCTACTTTTACATAACTTTCAAGTATTTACGTATATTTACAAAATTCTAATACATATGATTTTTACAATTTACCATAAAATGAATAAGAGAAAAATAAATTTTTACTTTACTCATTCTTCGCCAAGCTGGCGGCACTGAAACTAAAATTCTTATTAATACAAGAATACGAAGTTATTTTTATCTTCGGCCAAATTTTGGCTTTAACATAACAGAATTAGTCTTTCGACCAACAGAAACTGCTTGTTCTTAGATTTTATACTGAAAGAAAATAATACTTTTGCCTTAGCTAAATAAAGTAAAACAAAACTAAGTCTCAACCGAGACACATTGACTTTCGTCAAAACATAGAACTTCGTATTTACGCATAACATTTTGGAACAAAAGAAAAAAAATTTATAGAAGATTTTAACTTATCTTTGAGTTTTCGATGATTGGAACTCCGTCATTCTTTTCTGGCAGAACTGTTCCCACGTTATAGGTTTCATGGACGTCAGTCTTCTCCTTACTGACCTCCGAGTGTCGTCCACGCTAATTTGTCTTTTTCGTCCTCTGCATGCTGGCCTCTTGGAGTAGTAGTCGTCGGGTTGCTGTCTTTTCGTTTTTCCCCTGGACGGCTGGTCTTGGCGTCCTCCGGTCTGGAGTCATTCTTGAATTTCTTCTGTTGTTGCTGGTCTTTTCGTTCCTCCTGCTGTCTTTTTATTTTCCGGAACGGCGGCCTTGTTTGCACCTGACTCTCTGGCCCTGGGAGCGTTCTCCTTGATGTATAATTAATTTCTACTGCGATACGTTGTAAGTGGTGTTTTTTTCCTCTTTACCAAGGATTTCTTTACGCGGCGGCTTTGCTTTCTTGTTTTTCTTAAATGCTGGAGTCTGAAAGTTTTTCGTTTTTTTCTTTTCGGTACCGTCGCATGGGTTGTAGAAGGGCTAGGTTCTCTCTTCAGTTCTCTGCTTCTTGGGTGGTGGAACGGGTGACGTTATTTCTGGACCTTCTACTTCTTTTACGCTTGAGTCCTGCAAGAAACTTTTAAGGATTTCAAAATCATTTTGATTAAAGTATTTTTTCACCTGGTCGGGACTTGCTTTACAGATTTCCCCTCTCTCGTTCTTAAGGTACAATACGACTCCTTTGATTTCCTGAATTACATAGGGGCCTTCAAATTTTGGAGCTAACTTTGCAGTAAAATTGTCTGGGGCACTTGATAAGAAAATTTCCGCTTCAATACTTTATCCCCAACTTTAAAATCTGCTTCACGGCGTTTTCTATCATAATGTACTTTTTGCTTATTTCTTGCCGTATCCGAGCTTTTAAGCGCCTGGTCAATAAGTTTTTGCACATCTTTCTGTTTAAATTCTTGCTCTCTTTGTTGCACAAAGAATAATTTATCTAAAGGTGTAATTCACTTTCGGCCTAAAAATAATTCTGCTGGGTTTTTCCCGTAGTATCGTGATTTGCCGTTCTTAAAGCATAAGCTAACTCATTTATGTAGCTATCCCAGCGCTTGTGATGTGTGCTAACGTAACTGCGAATTATTTTTACAAATGTTTTTATTAACTCTTTCTGCTATGTTTGCCTGTGGTCTATACGGAAGCCATTTTGATATGGCGTATGCCAAGTCCAGTGCATATGTTTTCAAATATTTGACTAATGAATTGTTTACCGTTATCGCTAATGACTTTTATCGGTGCACCGTATTTTAAAATGTATCTGTGTAAGAATGCATCTGCGACTGTTTTGGCTGACGCGCGTTTAAGTGGAACAATTTCTGTCCATTTTGAAAAATGATCTACAATTACTAAAAGAAAACGATTTTTATTTAACTCGCTCTGGGGGAAAGGACCAAGAAGATCTATGCCTAAAATTTCATTCGGAAATGTAGCGCGAATGCTATTTAAGTACCCGGCCGGGCTGTAATTAATATCATTTATTAACTGACATTGATTGCAGGACCTGACATACGCAGTTACTATTTTGTATAATTGCGGGAAATATACCGCCTCGCGTACCCTTTTTAAAGTCTTTCTGACCCCTAAATGACCCGCTGTTTTCGCGTCGTGTAATTCCTTCAAAATGCTTAATCGAAGCGAGGCTGGGATGACTGGTTTGTACTTGAGATTTTCGTTTGTTGTTTTTGTATAAAATAATAAATTATCTATTATTTCATAGTTTTCTGCTCTATTTCTTATCGCATCGATATCTGTATGTTCAAAGCTTTCGGGGTCTTTCAAATATGCATAGATACTTCCAAATTCAGGATCAGCTTTCAGTTCAGCGATAATTGTATCTCTAGAATCTAAAATTTTTGAAGTCAACACAGCGCACGTTTAAGTTCATTACCTTCATCGTCCAGTTTTATACGAGAAAGTGCGTCAGCTACATTGTTTTCCTTACCGGGTTTATATTTTATTATTAGATTATATTCTTGGAGTTTTAAAGCCCATCTTATTAACCTGGGCGTTAGGTTTTTCCCCGAGTAAAGTCTACCAACAGCCGCATGATCCGAAAAGACTGTTACTGGCGCTTTGCCGAAATAAACTCGAAATTTGTGTACAGCCATTAATACGGCTAATGTTTCTCTCTCTGTAGCTGTATAATTCCTTTGTGTGTTGATTCAACGTTTTACTAAAAAATGCCAGAGGATGGCTATTTTGCATAAGAACCGCACCCACCGCATAGTCCGACGCATCTGCTGCAATTTCCAGGTTTTCGTCCCCCTCCGGGAATTTCAAAACAGGGGCATTGATGAGCGCTTCTTTTAATCTTTCAAAATGCGGTATTTGCTTCCGCTGTCCACGT